CAAGGCAGATCTGGGAGCAGGCGCTAGGATGCAGAGGGGACACAGAAGGGGACAGGTGGGCCTGGACCCTCCCCCGGAGTGGCTCACACTCTGATTGGGGGACCCAACCTACCCTGCTGTGAACCAGTCTGTCTGAGGTGTGTTAGTGGAGACACAAACCTTTGCTTATGCCAGAGATGTGATTTGTTTCAATTGGGAGGATGGGATGAGGCTTCTTGGAAACAATGGTATTTCAATGTATTGGTCTCAAATTTAAAAAATAGGGCCGGGCGTGGTGGCTCAAGCCTGTAATCCCAGCACTTTGGGAGGCCGAGACGGGCGGATCACAAGGTCAGGAAATCGAGACCATCCTGGCTAACATGGTGAAACCCCGTCTCTACTAAAAATACAAAAAACTAGCTGGGCGAGGTGGCGGGCGCCTGTAGTCCCAGCTACTCGGGAGGCTGAGGCAGGAGAATGGCGTAAACCCGGGAGGCAGAGCTTGCAGTGAGCTGAGATCCGGCCACTGCACTCCAGCCTGGGCGACAGAGCGAGACTCCATCTCAAAAAAAAAAAAAAAAAAAAAAATAGAGTGTGATCATTGGAATAGCTGGCCTCTGATGAGCACTTAGTATGTGCTAGGGACTCTTGGAAAGCTGTACATGCAGTATTCCATATTATTCTTGTCACACACTTACTGTGTGGACACTTTTATCACCTCCACATAAGGACATGGATGCCCAAGGTCTTATAGGTATAGGTCTTATAGGTATAGTGGTGATACCAAGATTTGGCCCCTGGTGGTCTAGTTTCCAATTCAGCACTCCTATTATTCCCAATCTGCCTCTAGTGTGTGCGTGTGTGGATGGAGAATATATTGGAATGTACAACTGTTTGAGTTTTTTGTTTTTTGTTTTTTGGAGATAGGGTCTTGCTCTGTTATCTGGGCTGGAGTGCCATGGTGCAATCATAGCTCACTGCAACCTTGAACTCCTGGGCTCAAACAGTCCTCCAGCCTCAGCCTCCCAGGTAATTGGGACTACAGACTTGCGCCACCATGCCTGGCTAACTTTTAAAATTATTTTGTAGAGATAAGGTATGTTGGTATGTTGCCCAGGCTAGTCTCAAACTCCTGGGTTCAAGCAATTCTGCCACCTTGGCCTCCCAAAATGTTGGGATTCCAGGTGTGAGCCACTGCACCCAAACTTGAGTTTGATTTGAAGGTGCGTTTGGGACCCTTCAGTTGTAAATCATTATCACTTATCACTAGTCTAAAATGGAAAAGGTAGACGGTATTGAACAAATGTTGAATGAATTACCCCACGTCACTTGCAGATAGTACTTTTTGTTTTACATCATAGTCTTGTCTGTCTCTTTCCCCAAACCCCCATGGTTTTGATGATGAACTTTCAAGTAGGGCTTCACTGGTTGTTTCTTTGAATTATCCTCTTCATTAATTACGTGAACAGGGTAGAAATGCTCAAAGATGTTGACTTCCCATGGTCTTGTATCAAGGTAGCAATCACATTCACAAAGCAGATGCCCTTGTATGGAAGAGCAGGTGCATCTCCAGCAGTGACCCCATGAAGATGTTCCTGGTGGAGCTGATGAATGGCTTCTCTAGGTGGTATAGAGTCTCTGGGAAAATGAAATTGAACTCTTCATGGTCATCAGTTGCTCGGGCATATCCTTCTGAGCGCTGGAGGCCATCATGGCAGGACATCACTGCATCATTTCTAGGCTTCTCAGGGACTGAGCACATGCAACCTCGCCATTGTGTTCTGCTGAGTCTGGGAAGGGGTGTCAGGACAGCTTGTCCTCAAAGGGCCTTGTCACAGGAGAGGGACACCGTGAGCAGCAGAACTGCTCACAGGTCGAGAGCCACTGGGTGACAATAGGGCGGAGAGTGGATGTTTCAGTCATGGGGATGTGACATCGTTTAGTGCCAGTGTCTCAGTTCTGGGTGTGTTTGTGGTTGGCCAAGTGCGCAAGGACGGGTTCCTTCTGGAATAAATGCATAGACTTTTGAGCCTATTCTTTGTTCATGCTCTCATTCTTTTATTTTCTGTTGTGGAAAGTTTCCAGTACACAGAAGTAGAGAGAATCATATCAAAGACTCGCAGCAGGTGCTGTGGACCACACCTGTAATCCCAGTACTTTGGGAGGCTGAGGCATGATGGCTGCTTGAGCCCAGGAGTTTGAGACCAGTCTGAGCAACATAGCGAGACCTCATCTCTTGAAAAAAAACTAAACAATTAGCCAGGTGTGGTGGTGTGTGACTGTAGTCCCTGCTACTTGTGAGACTGAGGCGGGAAGCTCATTTGAGCCCGGTAGGTCAAGGCTGTGGCGAGCTGTGATTGCGCAACTCCACTCCAGCCTGAGTGACAGAGCAAGACCCTTTCTCAAAAAAATAAAATAAATGAAAGACTTTCATATACCCAACACAAATGTTGACATTTCACCAATCGTGCCTTGTATTTGACTTTTTCTGATTTTCATTGAATTTTCTGTTGAGGCATAACAGTCAGTAAAGCTCACAGCTTGATGGATTTTGAAGATGAATTTTCATCTATGTTTATATCTGTGCAACCTTCAGATCAAGATGTAGAACATTCTCAGACCTCAGCAGGCTCTTGCCTGCGTCTCCCTGAGATCTGCATTTTCATAAATTGTAGGATACAACAGTGACATCGTATTGGGAAAAATATTTTGACAGATAAAAACTTGTTTTCCTTCTTGCCTTCCTGCCTTATTTTCTCCCTCCCTTCCTCTCCCCTTTCTCCCTTTCCCTCCCCTCCCTCCCTCCTTGCATTCTTGTTTCCTTCCCTTCTTCCTTCTTTATTCACTGATTTAGTTGCTAAGAGGGTAAACTCTGGATTTGTTAAAAAAAAAAAAAAAAAAAAAAAAAAAAACAGACTGGGTGTGGTGGCTCACGCCTGTAATCCCAGCACTTTGTGAGGCTGAGGCAGGTGGATCACTTGAGGTCAGGAGTTTGAGAAAAGCCTGGCCAACATGGCAAAACCCCATCTGTACTAAAAATACAAAAATCAACTAGGTGAGGCAGCAGGTGCCTGTAATCCCAGCTACTTGAGAGACTGAGGCAGGAGAATCACTTGAACTTGGGGGACGGAGTTTGCAGTGAGCCCAGATCATGCCGCTACCTGGGCTCCAGCCTGGGCGACAGAGCGGGACTCCATGTCAAAATAATACTACTAATAATGGAAAATACATACAGATCCAGAGTTTACCTTCTTAGTAATTACCTTCTTAATTACTAAGAAGGTAAACTCTGGGTCTGTTTGAATACATACATACATATATATATATTATGGAAAAACCCAGATTAAGTGAAACTGGCTTAGAGATTGGCTTAGAGATTGTTTTAGATGAACAGTCTCTGTCAATCTGAAAGGCCTGCCTTCCTCCTTCCCTTCCTCTCCCTCTTCCTCTCCCTCACTCCCTTCCTTTGCTTTCTTCCTGCTAAGCACTGACAGGCAACTCTAATGGCTATTGGAGATTCAGAACAAAACTAACCATAGTACTGGCCCGTCTTCCATGTCCACAGTGCCCCGGTGACTAGAGGGTACCCGAAGCGGCTTCTCAGGGTTTCTAACCCATTTTTTTTTTTTTTCCTGAGACGAAGTCTCCCTCTTGTCCCCCAGGCTGGAGTGTGACGGCGTGATCTCTGCTCACTGCAACCTCCACCTCCCAGGTTCAAGCAATTCTCCTGCCTCGGTCCCCCGAGTAGCTGGGATTACAGGCGCCTGCCACCATGCCCGGCTAATTTTTGTATTTTTAGTAGAGATGGGGTTTCACCATGTTGGCCAGGCTGGTCTACGACTCCTGACCTCAGGTGATCCACCCGCCTCGGCCTCCCAAAGTGCTGGGATTACAGGCATGAGCCACCACGCCTGGGGCCTCAGGGTTTCTTAGGAAGGGTGAGCTCCCTGCCCCACAGGTACTCAAGGCCAGGGAAGGGGTATCATAAGTGCCTGGCTGGAGGCTGACCTAGTTGACTTGAGCTGCCCCCAGGTCCCCAGTCAGACGAGGTCAAAAGGGCCTGGTGGGTGGTGACACCTGTGTTCCCTCGCAGACGCTGCAGGAGATCTTCCAGGCCGAGAACACCATCATGCTGCTGGAAAGGTCCATCATGGCCAAGGAGGGCCCGCTGAAGGTGGCCCAGACGAGGCTGGAGTGCCGGACCTGGCGCCCCAACGTGGAGCTGTGCAGGGACATCCCGCAGTTCAAGTAAGTGAGGGAGGCCAGAGGAGGCAGGAGAACCCCTGGCAATCCAGGAAGGTGGAAGGGTGGGTCTCAGGAGCTCCCAGGTGCACTGGGTCTGAAAAACAGACCCTCCCTCAATCAGGACATCCAGTCCCACAACTCAATAGAGTGCAGGGTGCGGGTGGAGTTCTGAGATGCAGCTCGGGCTGTACCACTGCGTGGCTTCCTCATCACTGGGACCCCCACCCTGTGCACTGTGGTCTTCTCACTTGCCTAAGCTAGCGGTGGTTTTGTAACTCGGTTGTGCTCTAGAAACCCTCCTGTTTCCCTTGAAAGCCAAGGCAATGAATGGTAGCCTCCCAGGCGGTGGCTTTACCTTCTCTCTCCAGGCTCCCATGAAAGAGGCACCTGGCTCATTCCTCACTCATTTCCCACCTCCTGCTTTGTAAAGTTCTCACCATGAAGCCCTGGAAGAGCCTTATGAGCTCCTGGCTGATGGATTCCACCCAACCTGCTGTGCTAAGGAGGCTGGTGTCTGTTGACGAAGGGCTTTGTCACAGGACAGGGGGTGAAAAACTAATTCCTGCCTAGAAAGGAGGTTTGTGGGGGGCAGGGGGTGGGGATTGTAATAGGATGATGGCCAGGCCAAGAAGGAACAGGTCATCAGACTTGGGGATTATTTCCCGTGAACGTGCTGTATGACTTGGGGCAAACCACCTGGCCACTCTGTTCCCCTATGCTAGGGGCATTATCTTAGTTGTCTATTGCTATGTAATAAATTACCCCAAAAGGCAGTGACTTGAAAGAACCACATTTGTTATCTCAGTTTCTGTGGGTTAGGAATTGGGCTAGGTTCCTTGCTAGGTTCCACATGCCAGGGTCTTCCAGAGGTTGCAATCAAGGTGTCAGCTGGGGCTGTGGTCTTATTCCAAGGCTGGACTGGGGAAGGTTCCACATCCAAGCTCACTCCCATGCTTGTTGGCAGAAATCAGTTCTTTGCTGGCTGTTGGCTGGCAGCCACCCTCACTCACCCATGGGTCTTTCCAGCACGGTGGCTTGCTTCAACAAAGCATGCAAGCCAGAAGAACAATAACAGTACCAGGAGCAAGGACGTCGCAGTCTTTTGTAACCTAACCATGGAAGTGACACCCATCACTCTTTCTGCATGCTCTTCTTTAGAACCAAGTCTCTAGGTTCAGCCCACACTCAAGGGTGTGATACCAGGAGGTGGGGATCATTGAGGGTCATCCTTGGAACATCCTTCTATGGGCACTAACAGGGTTTCTGGTGGAGTGGGAGGAGACTGAGTTTGGCCCCACTGCAGCTGCTCATTTGCTCCATAAACCTTATTCTGCATTAACTGTGCCCAGGGCTGTGCTCACCGGGTTTCATAGCAGTACTTCTTTTGACAAGATACTGAGTTGATATCCCCCATGAGAAGAAGATGGAAAGGACCATCCTCAGGCTTCCTTGTGCACATTATTTCAGCCCTGGCCTACAGCAAGGGAAATTCACCCTGATGTCTAACTGCAATTCCTTGAGCTGCTTTTGAGTTCTGTCCCTTTCAGTCTTACTCCTAGGGGAGTTGAGAAGTCTGTTACTCCTACTATTGTCAAATGGGAAGATAAATTGAGGTCCAGAGAGGTTGAAAAAACTGTCACAGTCACACAGCACGAAGCCAGGGCTTCACTGGGCAGGGAGTACAGGTCTTGGTCCAGCGATGGACCGTGCTTCCTCCATCCTGGTGTGGAGACCCCACTGCTAGAAGTGAAAAGATGTCAAGAAGAAAGCTATCAGTTAGGAGAAAGAGGATAGATAATCCAGAAAAAGTGTTGGGTGGTGTCCAAGCGATGATTTTTGCCCAGCTTCAGTTACCGCCTAAGTAACCATTTAGAAAATGGAAAAAGCAGGGTATGTGTTGGTGTGGGGTGGAGGGGCAGGCAACATGATTCAAGGCTTTGAACTTGAGGGCCTGGGGTCCCTCCCACTTTGGGAGGCTGAGGCAGGAGGATCACTTGAGGCCAAGAGTTTGAGACCAGCCTGGACAACATAGCAAGACCCCATCTCTAAAAAAAAAAAATACAAAAATTAGCCAGGGATGGTGGCATGTACCTGTAGTCCCAGCTACTCAGGAGGCTGAGGCAGAAGGATTGCTTAAGCCCAGGAGTTGGAGGCTGCAGTGAGTTATGATTGCACCATTGCACTCCACCCTGGGCAACAGAGCAACGCCCAGCAGGCCTGCTTCTGGCTTGCTAGGTCTTCAGCTCTGGAAGTGGGCTGGATGGGGTCTGGGTCCTGGGTGCAGAACAGTGGGGGCTGGGCTCTGCTGACCTGTCTTCCACCTGCCCCTGCTTCTTCGATGCTCAAGCTGAACCCCAACACCTCCTGGAGTAGAGGGCTCAGGTGATCCCTTCACCTCCCCAACAGGACTATTTTTTTTTTCTTTAAATTGAGTCTCACTCTGTTGCCCAGGCTGGAGTGCAGTGGCACGATCTCGGCTCACTGCAACCTCCACCTCCCAGGTTTAAGAGATTCTCATGCCTCAGCCTCCTGAGTACATGGGATTACAGGTGCCTGCCACCATGCTCGGCTAATTTTTGTATTTTTAGTACAGACAGGGTTTCACCATGTTGGCCAGACTGGTTGCGAACTCCTAACCTCAAGTGATCCAGCCACCTCCACCTCCCAGAGTGCTGGGATTACAGGCATGAGCCACAGTGCCCAGCCCCCACAGGGGACTTCTACAGAATAGGGCTTCCGGGGGAGTTGCCTGGAGGACCTACCGCTTTGGGGCAAACTCTCTGCCTTCCCGTTTCCTGTTCAACAGTCATACCACTGAGGAGGACAGACAGAGAGCAAGAAGGTAGAGCATGTTTGGTTCAGGAGTCGGGCCGTGTGTGTGTGTGTGTGTCTGTGTGTCTGTGTGTCTGTGCATGTTGTGTTTTGGTTTGTATGCATGGCTGTCTTGGGAACTGAGCAGATGATAGGATTCAGGCTGTCTCCCTTCTCCAGTGGCTACATTGTCCCATCTACGCATGATCTTCCTTGTCTCCATCCCCTCCATTCCTGCCTTTGGGCCGTCTTTTTCCTTTTCCTCCTGCAAGTGGTCTCTCTTCTCCTGACCTACTCCAATCACTGGGGTCCCATCCATGCCTATCCCCCAGAAAGTCCATTTAAAATTGAACTTTAAAGGCTAGGTGTGGTGGTTCAGACCTGTAACCCCAGTACTTTGGGAGGCTGAGGTGGGAGGATTGCATGAGGCCAGCAGTTCGAGACCAGCCTGGACAACATAGCAAGACCCCATCTCTACAAAAAATACAAAAATTATCCAGGCGTGGTGGTGTGCCTATAGTCCAAGCTACTCAGGAGGCTGAAGCAGGAGGATTGCTTAAGCACAGAAGTTGGAAGCTGCAGTGAGCTATAATCGTGCCACTGTACTCCATCCTGGGCAACAGAGCAACACCCTGTCAAAAAAAAAACACAAAAAACAAAAAACAACTTAATTTTAATTAAAATTAAATAAAGTTAAAAATTCATTTCCTTATTCACACTAACCATATTTCAAGAGCTCAGTATCCACATGTGGCTAGGGTCTACCATATCAGTTAACATAGCACAGAACATCTCCCTTGCTCTAGAAAGTTCTATTGGACAGTGCTGGTGGAAGTTTCCAGGCTGCTGCTGTCACTTGTCTTCGCTTCTCTCTAGCCCAGGCTCACCATGGGGAAGTTCACCCAGCTTCATGTCCTCCGGTCCTGAGCACGGTTTCATTGTCTCTTCTCCGCACAGGTGGGACCCCCAGCACAGTCCCACAGCCAAGCCACCATCACAGCTCAGCTTGCTGCCTTCATTTCCCAGGGCCGCTATCACAAATTACTACAAACTGGGTGGCTACAGAGAACAGAAGTTTATTCCCTCACAGCTTTGGGGGCCCGAAGTTCCAAATCAAGGTTGCTCTTCCTGGAGGCTCTGAGAGAGGCTCTGTCCCCTGCTACTCTCCCGGTTCCGGGGGACTGTCAGCAATCTTTGGCGTCCCTCAGCTTGTACCCGCATCGCTACCATCTCTGCCTCCATCTCCACATGGCCTTCTCCCCTGCATGTCTCCGTGTCTCAAACCTCCCTCTCCTTTCTCTTACGAGGAGATCAGTCATTGGATTTCAGTGTCACCCTAAATCCAGGATGATCTCATCTTAAGATCCTTAACTTCATTACGCCTGCGAAGACCTTATTTCCTAATAACATCACACGCCCACCAAGGCTTAGGACTTGAACATATCTTTCTGGGGAACACCATCCAATCCGCTCCGTGTGGATTCACAATAACCTCCTAACCTTTCTCCTGCCTCTACTCTTGCCCCTTCCAATCTCATCTTACACAGCCGCCTGGAGGTTATCCCGAAACTCCAATCAGCATGTCATTCCCTGTTTCAACCCCCCCGCCCCCACCCCATGGCTTCCCACAGCGCTGAGAACAAACCCAAGCCCTTAATTTTGCATGTGCTTTTCTCTTTTTTTTTTTTTTTGAAATGGAGTCTTGCTCTATTGCCCAGGCTGGAGTGTAGTGGCATGATCTCAGCCCACTGCAACCTCTGCCTCCCGAGTTCAAGTGATTCTCCTGCCTCGGCCTCCTGAGTAGCTGGGATTACAGGCACATGCCACCACACCTGGCTAATTTTTGTATTTTTTTTTTTTAAGTAAGGACCAGGTTTCACCATGTTGGCCAGGGTGGTCTCAACTTCTTGACCTCAAGTGATCTGCCCGCTTCAGCCTCCCAAAGTGTTGGGATTACAGGCTGCAACCTCTGCCCCCTGGGTCAGCCTCCCAAGTAGCTGGGATTACAGGTGTGCACCACGACACCTGACTAATTTTTTTGTGTTGTCAGTAGAGACGGCGTTTTGCCACCATGTTGGCCAGGCTGGTCTCGAACCCCTGACCTCAAGTGATCTGCCCGTCTCAGCCTCCTAAAGTACTGAGATTACAAGCATGAGTCACCACGCCCAGCCAAAATTTAAATTTTAAATTAAAGTAATACAATTAAAAATTCAGTTTCTCAGTTCATTAGCCCTGTGGGGCTGGTGGGTACCACATTGGACGGTGCAGATATAGACCTTCCCATCTTCACAGAAAGTTCTACTCCACAGCACTGCCAAAGCCCACTTTCCCTCTTGGCCTTCACACGTCCAGCTCAGTCTCATCTTCTTCTCTGGTCAAAGTCATCTCATGGGAGGCTGAGGGAGGAGGATCACTTGAGCCCAGGAGTTTGAGACCAACCTGGAGGCAAAAAAAAGAAATCCCATCTCTATAAAACCTTTTTTTTTAAATTAACCAGGTGTGGTGGTGCATGCCTGTAGCCTCAGCTATTTGGGAGGCTGAGACAGGAGGATCTCTTGAACCCAGAGGTTTGAGGCTACAGTAAGCTATGGTGGCACCACTGCACTCCAGCCTGGGTGACAAGGGAGACTTTGTCTAAAAAATAAAAATAAAGGCCGGGCGCGGTGGCTCAAGCCTGTAATCCCAGCACTTTGGGAGGCCGAGATGGGCGGATCACGAGGTCAGGAGATCGAGACCATCCTGGCTAAACCGGTGAAACCCCGTCTCTACTAAAAAATACAAAAAAAACTAGCCGGGTGAGGTGGCGGGCACCTGTAGTCCCAGCTACTCGGGAGGCTGAGGCAGGAGAATGGCGTAAACCCAGGAGGCAGAGCTTGCAGTGAGCTGAGATCCGGCCACTGCACTCCAGCCTGGGCGACAGAGCGAGACTCCGTCTCAAAAAAATAAATAAATAAATAAAAATAAAAAAAAAAATAAAAATTAAAATCAGCTGGGTGTGGTGGCTCATGCCTGTAATCTCAGCATTTTGGGAGGCCAAGTCGGACAGACTGCTTGAGCCCGGGAGTTTGAGACCAGCCTGGGCAACATGGTGAAACCTTGTCTCTACAAAAAATGTAAAATTAGTCAAGTGCGGTTTTGCACACCTGTAGACCCAGCTACTTCAGAGGGTGAGGCTGGAGGAACGCTTAAGCCAAGGAAGTTGAGGCTGCAGTGAGCTATGACTGCGCCACTGCACTCTGGCCTAGACAAAGTGAGACTCTGTCTCAAAAAGAAAAAAGAAAAAAAAGTCCTCTCCTCGGAAAGTTCTAGAAAAGCAAAGCCTCAGAAGGAGGGGGGTGGGGAAGTAGTACGGGGCAGCTCAGCCCCAGCTGATCCTACAAGGGGCTCTAGACCGTGAAGTGCATCATGGAGATGTTTGCACCAGAGACCCTTTGTACCTGAGTCAGCCAGTCATTGCCTTTGGCCACTGGCAGGGACTCTCCTCCCAGGTGAGATAGCTCTGATTGGCTGAGCAACATAATTCTCTGGAGAAGTGCACACCTGTGGGCCGCTAGCATAGCAGCTGGGGATGGTGCCCTGGCCAGTAACGAAGACTGAGTGAGGCTCTTACCTAGACGAGGCTGGCCCTGTTATCCTGTTTAGGAAAAAATTATAGAGCCAGGTACGGTGGCTCCTGCCTGTAATCCCAGCATGTTGGAAGGCTGAGACTGGCAGATTGCCTGAGCTCAGGAGTTCGAGACCAGCCTGGGCAACACGGTGAAACCCTGCCTCTACTAAAACACAAAAAAATTAGCTGAGTGTGGTAGCAGGCTTCTGTAATCCCAGCTACTTGGGAGGCTGAGGCAAGAGAATTGCTTGAACCCGGGAGGTGGAGGTTGCCGTGAGCCGAGATTGCACCACTGCACTCCAGCCTGGGTGACAGGGCGAGACTCCGTCTCAAAAAAAAAAACAAACCAAAAAAACACAAAAAATTGTGATAAAGTACGCATAACACAAACTTTACCATCAGTGACATTTGGTACATTCACGGTGTTTGTGCAACCTTCACTACTCTCTAGTTCTATGACATTTTCATCAACCCAAAAGGAAACCCTGTACCCATTAAAGAATCTTCTACATTCTCCCCACCGCCTGACCTTTGGAAGACACCAGTTAACTTTCTGTCTGTGTGGCTTTGCCTATTCTGGACGTTTCTTATGAATGCAGTCATGTAATATTTGTCCTTTCATGTCTGACTTCCTTTGTTTAGCATCATGTTTTTCAAGATTCATCCATGTTGTCACAGGTATTAGTATTTCATCACTTTTTTTTTTCTTTTTTTTGGGACGGAGTTTCGCTCAGTCGGAGTGCAATGGTGCGATCTCAGCTCACTGCAACCTCCGCCTCCCGGGTTCAAGAGCTTCCCCCGCCTCAGCCTCTCAAGTGGCTGGGATTACAGGCACGCGCCATCATGCCTGGCTAATTTTTTGTATTTTCAGTAGAGATGGGGTTTCCCCATGTTGGCCAGGCTGGTCCTGAACTCCTGACCTGAAGTGATCCACCTGCCTCGGCTTCCCAAAGTGCTGGAATTACAGACGTGAGCCACCACACCCAGCTGTATTTCATTCCTTTTTATTATAGCTGAATAATCTCCCATTTTGTGGCTTGATTACATTGTGCTTATCTACTCATCCATCCATCCATGGACATTTGAGCTGCTTGCACCTTTTGGCTATCGTGAATAGGGCTGCTGTGAACATTCATGTACACGTTTTGGTTTGAACACCTGTTTTCCGTTCTTTTGGGTATATACCCAAGAGCAGGACTGCTGGACTGTATGGTAAGTCTATGTCTAACTTACCAAGGAATCTCCAGATTGGTCTCCTGTTCCGTTTTACCATCCTGTCTTATTTCTTCCTTTGGGTACATTACCCTTGACAGTTGTCTTGTGTATTTACTCGTCTACCTATTCTGCCTCTGCCTTCCCAGGGAGGGCTGATGAGCCTTGCCTGTCTTGCTTGCTGCTGTCAGGCACAGTTCCCAGTGCACAGTGAGAACATCTACCTTGAACCTAATAACCTGTGCCAGGCTGAGCACCGTGGCTCACACTTGTAATCCCAGCACTTTGGGAGGCCAAGGCAGGTGGGTCACTTGAGGTCAGGAGTTCTTGGCCAGCCTGACCAACATGGTGAAACCCTGCCTCTACTAAAAAAAAATATATATATATATACAAAAATTAGCTGGGCGTTGTGGTGCGTGACTGTAATCCCAGCTACTCGGGAGGCTGAAGCAGAATTGCTTGAACCCGGGAGGCAGAGGTTGCAGTGAACCGAGATCATGCCACTGCACTCCAGCCTGGGTGACAGAGTGAGACTCTGTCTCAAAAAAATAAACAAATAAAAATAAATGCATAACCTGTGCCTTCTCCTCTTCCCTCACCCCAGGCTGGTTAACGAGGTATTCACCATCGACGACACCCTGCAGACCCTCAAGCTGCGGCTGCGGGAGACACAGGACATGCTGCAGCTGCTGGTCATGACCAAGTGCCGGCTAGAGCACGAGCTCGCCATCAAGGCCAACACCCTCTGCATCGACAAGGAGAAGTGCATGGGCATGCGTAAGACCTTCCCCTGCACCCCGCGCCTGGTGGGCCACACCTGAGCACCGCCCTGGCGCCTCGTTCCACGCTGGCATAAAATTGGAAAAGGCTGAGAAACAAAGTAAAACAGTATTTTGTTTGGAAGGGGCCGAATTTCTCTTTTTCGTACCTATTTGTTACCTGCATTTTTCTCTCTCTCTCTCACTCTCTCTCTCTGTTACCTGTTTGTCACCTTAGGAGCACAGTGTAGACCATGGTGTTTTAAGATTAGACTTGATAGCTCAAAATCTAGAGCCCAGCACTGTCACTTAGGACCTGTGTGGCCTGGAACAAGTTTCTCACCTGTGGTCCTCATCTATTGAATGAGGAGAGTCCGAGGTGCGGGGGATTGCCAGCAGTGTGGGGCAGAGAGAGAAAAAAAAAAAAAACCACAAAAATAACCAGGATTTGGAATCAGAAGTTCTGGGTGTGAATCCCAGCCTTGGTAGATGGAGTGTTTGTTTATGTATTTATTTATTTGACATGGAGTTTCACTCTGTCACCCAGGCTGGAGTGCAATGGTGCAATCTCGGCTCACTGCAACCTCCACCTCCTGGGTGCAAGCACTTCCCCTGCCTCGCTAGCTGGGATGACAGGCATCCACCACTACGCCTGGTAATTTTTGTATTTTTAATAGAAAGATAGGGTTTCACCATGTTGACCAGGCTGGCCGCAAACTCCTGACCTCAGGTGATCCACACGTCTCGGCCTCCCAAAGTGTTGGGACTATAGGCGTGAGCCACCACGTCTGGCCGATGGAGTATTTTAGAAATAGCTATGGGAGGCCAGGTGTGGTGGCTTACACCTGTAATTCCAGCACTTTGGGAGGCCGAGGTGGGTGGATCACTTGAGGCCAGGAGTTCCAGACAAGCCTGGCCAATGTGGGGAAACCACATCTCTACTAAAAATACAAAAATTTGCCAGGTGTGTTGGTGCAAACCTGTAATCCCAGCTACTGGGGAGGTTAAGGTGGGAGAATCGCTTGAACCTGGGAGACGGAGGTTTCAGTGAGTCACGATTATGCCACTGCACTCCTCAAAAAGTAGTTAAACATAAAACTGCCCTATGACCCAGCAATTTCACTCCTAGGTGTTTACCCAAGAGAAGTAAAAACGATCCTCATATACTCGTGCACGAATGTTCACAGCAGCACTGATCACATTAGTCAAAGGGTGGAATGACCCAAATGTCTATCCATGGATGGATGGGAAAACAAAGTGTGCTGAGTCCATACCAAGGAGTCTGATTTAGCCATAAAATGGAATGAAGCACTCACTGATCCACGGTGCAACGTGGATGAACCTTGAAAACAGGATGCTAAGTGAAAAAAGCTAGACAGAAATCCCACATAGTGTATGATTCTATTTATATGAAATGTCCAGAATAGGCAAATCCATAGAAATAGATACGGTTGCTGGGAGAGGGGAACGGGGAGTGACAGCTTAGTGGATGCAGGGTTTTACTTTGGAGTGATGAAAATGTTTTGGAACTAGAGAGAGGTGGTTGCATAACATTGTGAATACACTGAATGCCATAGAATTGTTTGTTTATTTTTGAGTTGGAGTTTCTCTCTGTCACCCAGGCTGGAGTGCAATGCTGCGATCTTGGCTCACTGCAAACCTCCGCCTCCCGGGTTCAAGCGATTCTCCTGCTTCAGCCTCCCAAGGAGCTGGGACTACAGGCGCCCACCACCATGCCCAGCTAAATTTTTGTAATTTTAGTAGAGATGGGGTTTCACTGTGTTAGTCAGGATGGTCTCGATCTCCTGATCTCAAGATCCGCCTGCCTTGGCCTCCCAAAGTGCTGGGATTACAGGCATGAG